AGGGTGGCAGCAGCCACGATAACACCCGTGTGAGGAACGCAAACACAGCCAAGGGACAGCCAAGGGCCGAGATGCTTCTTGCGCTCACCCTCTGAGATCTGGAGACACATTTAGGGCACCTCGCTTAAATCAGACTCTGCTAATAGATTCCCCAGCTATAAACCATGGCAGAAGGACAACTTCTTAACTTTCACAGGGGTATTTCATTATCTTGCCCTGTGTTCTCCCATCCCTCTGACTCTCCCACTGCTTTCCCCCAGAGATATCCTTGGCAGCTTGTCCCGCACTCCCACGGCATGCCACGAGCCAGCCCTCCGGCACTGCCCCATGTGGAACTGCAGGTGCAGTGTGCCTGCACAGCCTCCCTGCTTTCTGACGAGGGTTTTGAACCAAAAATCTTAGTGTGCCTTTCGGAAACATGATTGCAGAGGATGAAAGGAACCTTGAGACACCCACTCTGCGGCAGATGCTCCTCTGCAAGTCACTGATTTTGCACCAATTTAAAGGCAGCTGGCACAACCCAGGTTTGGGATTGCTTTTGCTGGCACACAGCTGGCGCTGGCCATGTTTTCCAGAAACACACAGCCAGCACTGGCTGTGTTCTGCAGGAGCACAGCTGGCACTGGTCACGTTTTACAGGCATGCACAGCAGGCACGGGTGCTGGACTCAGGGTACCACGGCTGACCACGTGCTGGGGCCTTGGAGGGCAACGCCGCTGAGCAGTGCAATACGTCTCAGCGTTGCCAGCTCTTGACTCCTTGACTCTTCTGCTCTTGCCATGAAATAATCCCTGAAGCCATAGCTCTGGAAGGCCAATTAGCTGCTGATGAAACAGCCACAAGCAAGTTGTTGCTTGGATTCTGTCACTCGCCCACGGAGCAGCACGCTTGGGAAACGGTGCTTAACGGACCTGGGATTTATTTTTCTCTTTAATAGGGGAGTCACATTAACCCCACTTCCAGCTCTGCTTCTTGCTAACTATTTCTCTAGTCCTAGGAAAAAAGCCTTTCATTATTATTAGAATTCTGATTCTTTTCTAGTCTTCATTTTCACGTTGGTTTAAGAAGTAGCCAAGATCTTTCATTCATGCATAGGCACACCCACATGAGGAGCAAGAAAACACATTCACCTAGCTCTCCAACAGTAATACAAATATATAAATGTCAATTGGCAGATTTAAACAAACCGTTGCACATGCAAAATTCAGCAGAGGATTTTCTCACAGCTAACGCTGAAGGAATGAAATAGGAGAGAGAAGCTAAACCACACTCGTACAGCTCCGGGAGCTCCGATTTGATGCCAAGGAAGGTACAACATAAGGCATAATTGCTCCTGTCACGGCTGCTCTTACCCTGCTCTTTAATAAGTGAGGATTGGCTTGAAGTACGGAGCACGGACGTACCGGTGCAGGGGGGCTCCTGCACGGGCAGCCGTTCTCACTCCTGTTTGAACCTTACGCATCTTCGGTGCAGAGACACTCTGCGCTGCCAACGCCCGAGGCAACCTCTCGTTTTTACCTCCTTTGAAAAACTCCCTCACAGCATCTAAGCAGGAAAGACGAAGCCCCCGGGAGGGACTTGGGTGCTGCATCTTTTACTGGAAACACAGCATCACCGGCGCAGCACACAGGGTGAACTGCTGCAGCAGGCAGTTCGTTAGGCATTCACATGGGAAATACACCCCTGCATCGTTTTGACCATCGGCACATTTATAAAATTAGATGCAAATAAAAAAAAAGAAAAGAAAAAATTAAGTCCTGAAAGTCACTGTGCACATTAGGAGTCATTTGCTCTTACACCTACAAGTGAATACTGTTTTCCCTAAGTACAATGTCAAAAGACAACCAGCTCAGGCTTGTGTTTCCCACCCCAGCCCAGAGGTCCTTGGCAGGGGGCGCTCCCTGGGCACAGCCACTGTGCTAAAGCGGGACGCCGGGCTCCCGAAAAGCAGGAGGGCTGCAGGGAGCCTGTCCTGCCGACCCTCTCTGCTTTCCAAGCAGATCACTGTTAGGACTTTGCAGATCATTCACAATTTCTTGTCCCCTGCCCATGCTGGAAGAGGACAGCCAGCAAGATCCACAATTACCCGCTGTTGGCAACTGCCTCATGTCTTTGCTCAGCTTTACTTTTTTCTCATTTATCAACCTTTTTTTCCCCCCTATTTAACTTAAGTGCATAAAATAAACTGCAGCCTGACAATTAAGCTACCACGACATATTTCCAACATAATCACGCAGCTTTTTTTGCCCCTAAACTTCACAGCGTAATTAGCAACGATGTGCTCCCGCACTTGCCGTAACACTGCCGAAGGATGTGCTGGAGACGGGAGGATAAAGATATCTCATTAAAGAGACTTCTCTGAGGCTCCGCGGCAGGTAGAGAGACATGAATAATTCACAGTATGAAAAGTAAAGGTGAAGTAGTGAAATTATCTTGGGTATATCACAGAGGATGTAGGTGCATGATCATAAACATCTTATTAAAAGCAGAATTAGAGGGATGGGAAGAGGGAAGATTGATATGGGAAGAGGGATACGGGAAGAAGGAAGATCGATTCACTCCAGAAGCAGCTATGGAGAAGAGAGAAAAAAAACCTGTTTTGCAAAGGTATTTAGAGGCAAAACCTCTGTTTATCTCAAGAGAAGTTTAAAATTTTGATTCTAAATGTTTCAGAGACTTGGATTTACTTCAAGTGCACCCATCTCAACACTCAGCTTTTATTATCCCACCCCTATCTCCGTAGATCAGTTCTGTCTCTCCTCACAACCTTATTACTTGTGGTTTTTGAGATTAGCTCAAAAACTGTATCTGACTGGCTCACAATTCCTCCTCCTTTGCTTCTGGCTCGAGCTGTGTGTGCGATTTCAGTGCTGGCTACAGCAGCTGGGTCTGTGCCCCGCTGCCGCAGGTGGGATCCCACCTTCAGCCCATCACGGCTGCTTCAGGGAACCGGATCCTGCTCCTGCCTGCATACTATCTCACACGTTAATGGGGGTGTATTTTCTGTTTTGACCAGTTTTGCTGTGCCCTGTCAAACACCCTCCCTCTTCGAACACGTCCCCTTGAGCAGCGCCTTTTCCCTTCTGCAGCAACCTCTCCCCACTCTCCTCTTTATTTTTCTGGAGATTTGTAATGGGAACAGTGGAAAACCAAGAATAAATTCTTTGTCTACTGCACTATACCCTGGGCTATACGCCTGGGGCAGAGTTCAAGTACCAGCTCCTTGGGCCAGTTGGTCAAGAACCAACTCCAAGGACCATCACTGGACCTCTCAGGCACACAGCCCATCCTGCCCAACAGATGCTATTTGCCACCACCCTGAAAAGAGTTTCTCTGTTAAGGAAGGAAAAGCTGACCCAGCACACCTCCCTCACCCCACCCCACCACTCCTGTTCATTCGTTTCCATAGAGCTGCACAGGCAGAAGCATCACCAGGAGCATCACTGCCCTCAGAGCAGCACAAGCCCCCACCATCAGCGGGCACAGCTCGGGACCCACATGTGCCCACCTCCATCCACCCTGCAGTGAGGCTGCTGCTGCCCCGTGCTCATCTGCAGTGGGTTTCCACCTAGGATTGCATTTCCCTCTTGTTTAAGCCCCCGCTCCATTTCTCAGCCTCTCTATCCAGCTGTTTTTGCAGCTGACCCAGGCTAAGCCAGGCTCTGAGTCAAAGCCCTTTGCTGATCCTTGCGGACTTCCCTTCCCCTGCACTGTACATGTGATTCTTTTTAAATACCAAGATCTCACCCCTGATCTTCAAGGCACTTAATGATCTGAGCTCTGAATATCTACATGCAGAACTCTGGGAGCGTGGCAGCTACAGCTCCTCCTCTCTCGTACCTACTGTAATGTAAAAAAGTCGGATTTGTACTTGAGACTGGAATTTTCCAGCTTCCAGTACAAAAATAAATGCTTACTAGAAGCCAGGACCGTTGCAAAGTTTACTCCCTCTGCTGCAGAAACCCAGAAAAATTTATTAATTTTGTCTTCAGAGAAAGAAGGATTTAGTGTTGTCATGAGCAAAATCCGACTGTGCCAAGCCTTGCTGAACACCTGATGTTCCCTTTAGAAACCAAGTCAAAGAAAGGCTTATCTATAGTGCAAAGCAAAAGTATGGCTGTAATGCCATAGAAAATCCGTACGCTGGCTTAATACTGCTGCTGTAGGTACCAGCAGCACAACGTGGTGCCACGGGCCCCTGTATGCATGTTAAAATGCTAGATGTAAGATTCATGGCTTAACATTTTGGTATCCTAGTCGTTTGCTCTAGCCTTCTCTCTGAAATGACTACCCCTCTGTTTCAGTGCTCCTGGGCTGGAGACACTCAGTGAATACATTTTTTCAAGATCCAGAGCTTTTAAGTTAAAAAAAACCCACCATAAACCCAAAACCAAACTTGGGGGGTGGCATCTTCTAACATCTCTACAGCCTAACCATCCACCTGGCCAACACTGGGGACCCAGAGCAGGCTGGTGAGCTTGGATGTGCCACGCAGGCACCAGGTCCTGGCACCAGGTCCAGCTCAGCCCCAGCCCCGCCACCCACTGACTCAGGGACAGTCACCCCAAGGCTTTGCCAGGCTCCCAGCATCTCCTGAGAGCTTCCAAGAGCGCCCGCTGACTGTGCCGTAGCACTTTGAGGCTGATGTGTGAAAACACCTTTATTACTGTCATTTGCTCATAATTATGATTCCAACTTTGACTGTTTTTTCCACTGGAGATAACGACAGTTTGTAGCAACCTGTAGAAAAGAGTGTGATCTCCTCAAAAACATTAAAGAAAAATCCATACTGCACTGGAGTGGAATTCCCATTTTTCTCTTCAGTGCAGTTGGCAGCAAGTCAAAGATGATGAACAGAGGAAGATGAAGGTGGTTTGTCTTTTCAAAAATACATGACAAAAATGCCATGTTCATCTTGTTCACATTGCTTGTTTGCATATAAAAAATGTAATAATTGCTCTGCCGAAGCCATGGCCTCCCCACAGTACAGACCCTTGGTTCAGGCAACCTGTCAACCGAATATCACACTGCCCTCGTCAGCAGGAGTCATCGAGCCACCAGAAGGCTTTACAGAGTGTCGTGGTGGAAAGAAAGTTAACTCCTTCCTGGCTAAAACCAGCACAGACAGTTAGATCCTCATTCAGCATGGTGCATAAAATCCGGAGTGTTTGTGCTTTCATCAGCCAATAAGAAGATTATGAAATATATTTGATATGAAGTATATTAGATACCACAATTTCAGTTTTCAGCAAGCTGCAGATCAGAATGACCCTGGCACAAATCTCCACCTTTCTGTCCCTGCGTTCTTTGAACAGTTTTAATATTTCCTCCGTCTCACCCGCTTCTGACAAGAAGGCAAGTCAATACAAGCCTTGGTGACTTTAAGGAGGAGTATGTGGGTCTTCAAGCACAATAACTGCAGAGATGATAAAAGAAGTAGGTGTTTTCCAGAAGCAAACCAAACTAGACAAGGAACTTGTCTGGTTTGAAAACCGAGGTATGTCAGGAGACGTGTATGAACTTCCCTTCAGTTTTCAGGTGTCTGTGTCATAAAATTTTTAGCAATTTCCAGGCAGAGCTGGAATACTCAGCAACACAAATTCAATCAGAGGATCTTATTCAAGACAGGTACAGCAGCAAGCAGACCTGCTTCAAAGGGAGCCTCCAGCTCCACTTATGGATTTGCCTAGCATAGCTGACCACAGAGGGGTTCATGAGACTTTTATCTTAGCCATGGGTAGAGCCGGTGAGCCTGAGGTACCCACGAAGGAAAGGCTGCCCAGGGACAGCTTTCATACCCGAAATCTGTACACCCACAAACACAGTGCGAGAACATGCACTTCTAAATCTTCAACACCTCCACACAGTACTAATCCCTACGTGTGCGAGATCAGATAAATCACCCCTGAACTGACACCAAGTAATTCCCGATAAACGTCAGTTTTTTCCAAGAAGAAGGGCTGGGAAGGTGAGCTCAGGGCCTGGTACCCGCTCCCCATGGCTGCGTGCACCCAGCTCAGGCAAAGGAACAGCCTGGCCAGCCCCTTCACAGCATTTCACCTCCATTAACAGGGCTCCTGCCTTCACAAAGACAGTATTAAGGGGAATGTCACGTTATTAGGAAAGACATTCCCAGTTTCCTATCAAAATCCGATCGCTTTTCAATTGCGATTTGGATCACATAGATGTGAGTCTCAATAAAGCCCCTAAACACCCTCCAGCCCCTGGGAACAGCACTGCCCCTCCTCTCACGACAACACATGCACATTTACATGAGAGTGAATAAATGCTGCACAGTTTGATCATAAATAACGCTGTACAGTTTTATCACACAGTACAGCATAAAGCACCCTCGGAGGCTCCAGCCAACGAGGCTTCATGCAGCAACTATCCAAAAGATAACCACATTATCCCAGCAATGCTCATGAATACCCCTGGCACGGGAAATGGAAAGCCCAAGGACGTTTCAGAAACTTGCCTTTTGTATCATCAAATGCAAAGCTGCTGCCAATTGCCAGACCGAGTAAACAGGATCTGAAACGCTCTGAACACGCTCGTAATCAGCTAAAGCAAACGTCATAAAATCTGAGACGGTTTTTTAAGGGTCCCCCATTCCTAGGCAGTATGGAAAGCGTGGCTTGGTTGGAAGTACGCAAACATACAACATATGCTTCAGCAGTGGAGTCAGCATATGGAACATGAACTCACTTGTTAGGGTCTGATCCACCAAACTGGTTGCCATGAACGTCACCGCCGGTGCAGACACAGCAGTTACCCTGGTGACTTGCGTTGGCATCAAAGGGCCCACGTGCGCATCCATTCTGGAGGCAGAACCTGCATTCAAACCATAAGGAAACCTTTCATTTTTTAATCCAGTAAACAAAAATGCCTTTAAAAAACTCACTTTTGTTCCAGCCGTATTTCACAGAATGCGATTTTAACCTCCTGCTAAACATTTCCCTCTATACCCATTTGCACGGTTAAAACAATAGGTTTTGGGTTTAGTTGAATTACTGGTCTAGTCTGGCTATGACAACCAATGATTCCCAGCAAACAAGCATTGGTGGATATTTCAAATTAAAAAAAAAAGGCCCTCAAAATAAGAATTTGCAAGGGTATATTAATGATTTCAGAACAGATTGCAGCACGATCAGTTTTCTTATTTAAGACTAAATAACACACCTCCAGTTTCTACTGTTACTCGTCACAAAGTCTTTGTGTCCCACTTCATCCATGGGAAATTATGTTGCCAGTAATTTAAAACAGCAGCTTTATCCAAGGGAATCAGAGTCTGCCCAGACAATTCACAAAAGGGAAAAATCGCTCAATTGCTCATATACATTACTCATGACAAAGCAGAAAGCCAGGCCTGCTGCTCAAACTAGGCTATGGAATCCTTGAGAACTCGTGGCTATTGCCGGGTTTGAGGTCAAACCCTGAACATTAGTTTCCCATTCACTGTGCGTGAAACCTTATTTCAGCTACTGAGAGACCCATCCCACAGCATCTCATGTCAGATGTAAATTCAGGTGTCCCACCAGCAATCCCCAGGTCCTGTTTACAAACCACCATTCCAAAACTGAACGGGCACTGGGGGTGCATCCCTAGTTTAAGGCACTCTCGGAATAACAACTTCTTTCCCAAGCACGATCCAAGCTGCCGAATTTACTGCCCCTTCATTTCACTAACTGTTCTTGTGCTATCAAACAGTCTCATCCCAACTCCTCTGCATTTCGCAGTAACAGGGAGCATTTCTGGAAGCTTCTCTGCTATAAAAACTCAATCGCTCTATAAAACTCTTCATTGACTTTTGTTTCTCAGATTCCAGATGCCAAAGCAGATGGTTTTTGGTTGGAAAAGACCTTTAAGACCACCCAGTCCAACCGTTACCCCAGCACTGCCCAGCCCCCACTAACCATGTCCCTGAGCACCTCGTCCACACGGCTCTGAAACCCCTCCCGGGATGGGGGCTCCCCCGTCCCTGGGCAGCCCCTTCCCACCCTGACAGCCCTTTCCGGGAAGTGATTTCCTCAATATCCAATCTAACCCTCCCCTGCCACAACTCGAGGCCGTTTCCTCTTGTCCCATCACTTGTCACTGGGGAGAAGAGACCGACCCCCCCTCTGCACCCCCCTTTCAGGGAGCTGTAGGGAGCAAAAGGGCCGCCCTGAACCCCCTCTTCTCCAGGCTGAACCCCCACAGCGCCCTCAGCCGCTCCCCACAGGAATTGTGCTCCAGACCTGGATTATTAGATATAACTCTCACCAACACAAGGACACTGGGCGCCTTTTTGAATGCAACTATAACATTTTATCATCAAAAAGGTCACTTTTTCCTCATCAAAGTGCCGTGTGGGCTAGCAATATCACGAGAGGGTATTCCCTCAGTGCTCGAGATACAGAGCAGCACAGCCATGGGCAGAACATTCCCATTCTGCAGCTGGACAGGTACGACAAACCGTGGCTACAGGTGCTGGAAAAAGCACCATGCATTCAAAATGAGGATATCTGAGCAACAATAATAATGATGATACTAATTATGCTAATGAAATGTGCATCTTGCTGTTAGGCAGAAGTATATTCTATTGACTATAATCTGAATTATCTATATGAATAAAATAAAATACGCATCATGAAATTCATGGTGAGTTTTCCTCTTCTATCCTCCAGCCCTCGTCTCCCACCCCAGTGAGAAGGACAAAGCAGTGGAAGCCAGAAACTCCCCAAGAAAAGATAAATCTGAGTATTTTAGAGCAGATTGTTGAAATGAAGAAGAAAGGAGAAACTGGGACTACAGACAGCCTGAAGAAAACCCAGCGTACACCACCCAGAGACTGCCCGGCAGCATGTCCTTGGATCATTCTCTGACCTCACCCGGAATCCCTAAGCCCAGAGCTTTCTGTAACATAAAAAGGTCTCTCGAGAGATGAAGATAATTTGAAAGGCTTTCCTGTCGGTCCAAGCAAGGTTAAACATCTGCTTTTGCCCAGCAGGAAGTACAAAGTCCACAGTTACTACTGAAACAGGGAAAGCCCATGTCTTCTTCCAAGACCTGGTGACATTCTCCATGGAAATATAATTCCAGTGACTGCGGGGCTATTTTCATTCGCAGCCAGCATGTTTCCAAAGCTGCACATCCTCATACTACCCATTACGTGTTCCTGAGGGCGGACTGGAATTCAGGCTATCACCAGACGTTGTGAGTCTGTGGGTCACCTACCAGGTGAGAAAGAATTTAAAACACAGTACATAGTTTTAACCAAATTCCCATTTTTTAATAATCCTTTACAGAACCAGGAATGGATATACAATAATAAATCATGTGAAAGAAATAACGTTTTATAAATTTGGAAAGTCATAGTCCTGTAAAGGGTTAACATGGCTAAAGAATCATCCAGGGATTATTTTTTGCCAAAAAATAATCTTGGGAAAAAGTAGGAGGTTCATGAAGCTTTAGGATTTGGGGCCAGAACGCCAAGTTCACTGAATGTTCAATAACGCATCTGCACGATACCAACTTGCTATTAGCCAGGTATCTTGAAGACACTACTTGGTAAAGGATGATTCATTAATTTTATATGGAAATGAAACACGTCTGAAAACCAGAACCCTCATCCAGCAAGGCAAAACCAAGGTTCCAACCTCACGGCACAGAGCAGTGTGTAAGCACAGCATCCCCTCTCTTCCAGGGCTGGTGGTGTTATGCACAGCAACCCCTGAACTTCGGGCTTGATCGGGATCAGGCCTTGAGTGGATGAAGAAGTCCCCTTAGATGAGTATTTTTGCAAACCAACACTGTTTGCACTACACCCAGGCACACCGCCATGCACACACAGCAAGAACCGGCGGCCGCGCCGTTACCGCTCATCAGTCTATCACGTCCCTACGTTTTCACTTGGGTGCTCTCCTCCTAAGAGGCTTGAAGAGCACATTTAATATCTTTATGGGCTTCCTCCCACACCTCAGCCTTTGCCTGCAGTAGAGCCCTCCTAGCCCGAGGATGAATTAGCAAGCCAGCAGACAGGGAAGAGGAACGAGAGGACAGGGACAACACTATTTTAACCTCTCAGGAGGTTCGTACAGGATAGATGAGGGAGAAGACTACACTTCTCAAGGCGTGTGTGAAAATATATACACAAAGTGGGGATTTGATGCTCCGAGGGCTGGAGCCCCTCTGCCATGGGGACAGGCTGGGGGAGTTGGGGGTTCAGCCTGGAGAAGGGAAGCGCCGGGGAGACCTCAGAGCCCCTTCCAGTGCCTGGGGGGCTACAAGAAAGCTGGGGGGGGCTTTTTCCAAGGGCAGGGAGTGACAGGACAAGGGGTAACGGGTTTGAACAGAAAGAGGGAGATTGAGATGGGACATCAGGAAGGAATTCTTCCCGCAGAGGGTGGGAGCACTGGGACAGGTTCCCAGAGAAGCTGTGGATGCCCCATCCCTGGGAGTGTCCAAGGCCAGGCTGGATGAGGCTGGGAGCACCCTGGGCTATGGAAGGTGTCCCTGCCTGTGGCAGTGGGGGCACACTTGATGGACTTTAAGGTCCCTTCAACCCAAACCGTTCCGTGACTCTGATTCTACGCCTTTCTTAGGCAGTAACTCGGGTGTACGTGCGTGGTGCCCCATCCGAGCTGGTGTGAGGCCTCCACGGACTTGGGGTGGTCTAGAACAAAGCAAAATGAGTACAAGAGATGTTCATAAGTCATTAACATCAGTGGATGGGGGGAGAGGGGGACAGTAACAACGAGACTTCTGTGATCCACAAACTATCCCGACACAGCAGCTCCGTGCTGTTCTCCTGGAAGTCTCCTCTCTAGGATGGGCTACCGGGGCAAGGGGCACAGGGAAGATTAATTGCAAGAAGCTGCAGGAAAAACACCAGAGAAGGAAACATGTTATTATTTCTCTCTTTTCTTGGGTTTTTTTTGCCATTAAGTTAGGATATGAGAAATTCCTGCAAGGCACTATCAGCAGCATGATGAAAAAATTACCCCACAAGGTACGGTGATAAATTTAGTCCATATTTTCTTCGAAGAATGATAAATACAGCATTTATGGGAGAGGAACAGGTCAGTGTGATGTTTGTTGTGCTACCTGCAGCACAATAACCTAACTGGAGGCACTTGTAACGTGGCCATCTCTAACAAGACAGTGAACCATTTTCCAGCCCAAGACGATGTTTAGACCTGAGGCAACGACAGTTCCTTTTTTCTGCTTCTCTCAAAGCCCCTGGCAAACAAAACTATTAACTCTGATGAACTCTACGGATATAAAGAAATGCTGAGGAACCATCAATTCCGACATTGCAGTCTAAGGTGTCTCTAATGGTATGGAGCAATCCCTGCAACAGCAGACTCACCACAGCCCCTCTGGTTTTACGGAGATGTCCAGCAGGATGCACGCATGAAGGGACTGAAATCCTGGTCTCCACACCCTTGGAGACCATTTCCTAAGCTAGGATTTCTACCTGTAACGTAGATGTGCGTTACTACACAATTCACTCCATGAGTAATGTTTTACAGAGCAAGAGTTGTTCGGTTTTCTTTGGCTTTTCAAATTAATATTAATGACAACAAAAAGGACACTTTCATCCTATTGCTTCCAGCATCATCAGAGACAGATTAAAATGATATTTCATCGTCTGGTCTCTTCTGATTCTGGTGGGGGACATGCCCATGACTGCCCTGCTGTCTACAACAACATACTCGAAAAGGCTCTGCAGCTATTCTGAGCTTTTGAAAAGATTACCGACTTGCAGACAACAACAAATCAAAACATACCGGCAATGAGCACGGCCAGGAATCTCTGGCTTGTCCTTTTCCACCTTTGAATTTGAAAAGGAGGAAAGGTCCACACCTACAGATGTGAACCTCTGCCACCAAACGGATAAGCCCAGGTCCTCTCCTTCTGCCGAAAACCACAGAATGGTATTTACTTAGAATCACAGAACGGTTTGCGCGGGAAAGGACCTCACAGCCCCCCCAGTGCCACCCCCTGCCACGGGCAGAGACCCCTTCCATAGCCCAGGTTGCTCCAAGCCTCATCCAGCCTGGCCTTGGACACTCCCAGGAATGGGGCATCCACAGTTTCTCTGGGCAACCTGTCCCAGTGCTCCCACCCTCTGAGGGAAGAATTCCTTCCCGATGTCCCATCTCAATCTCTCTCTTTCCATTTAAACCCATTGCCCCTTGTCCTGTCACTCCCTGCCCTTGGGAAAAGTCCCCTCCAGCTTTCTTGTAGCCCCCCAGGCACTGGAAGGGGCTCTGAGGTCTCCCCGGAGCTTCCCTTCTCCAGGCTGAACCCCCCAACTCCCCCAGCCTGTCCCCAGGGCAGAGGGGCTCCAGCCCTCGGAGCATCTCCGGGGCCTCCTCTGGAGTCACTGCAACCAGTCAAATACTTTTTATGTTGGGGGCTCCCCAGCATCCCAAGGTACAGGACAGGCTTGCCTCAGGCAGCCCCACACTTCCTGGAGAAGCTCTTTGAGAAATGCTGAGCTGACCCCCATCCTGCCCCCGAGCATCACGGCTCACGTCATCGTCATTTACTGGGGGCTGCGTTACCATACAGGGGGGGAAAACCACACCCTGCTCCAAAAACACCCCCAAGCTGCCTCCCCTGCCCACGCAGGCTGCCACCGGCCACGCAGCCCGTGCCGCGTCCGCGGGCTACACGTGCAGACGCTCGAAGGCTGACACCCAAATTCTGAGGTTCCTAGGGACACCTGGTAATTGTAAGCTCACATGCAGGTACGCGCGTGCATTTCAGTCCACGAGCAATTCTCTACACCCAAAATTGGAATAGTTTTCATACCATCCTTAATTATCTCCCTATGGTAAGACATATACCACTTGAGATGAGCTCTGCTCATTTTTGTTACCACTGTGCATGCTGCACGTTGAAAAATGACTTTCCATCATATACTTTCAACCGCTCCTTTACGTTGATTTATCATCACATCCAGGAACAATAACATTATCAGTGCATCTTTCGATGCGATGGAAGCAATTAGCTCACAGCTTCCATCCATACTGGAGTCAAGCATATACATATATACGCACACACACATATATTATTTCATACATGCAGATCGAGTTCAACTGCTCACTTTAATTATATCTGATGCTCAGCAAATAAGCTTGAATGATTTAAGGCAATCATAACCCTTAAGGAATAAATATTTATGCTTTCTAGTTCCTGTTGCTCATAAAAAGCAGTCGTTGCAATAGATGGATTTGGAATACAAATAAACTCGGCGGATTGGGTTTTATGTCATAATGCAATATGAGCTTTCAGTATGAACTGCACATAACCTGGGCTGGAATAAGCCCTAAACATGAACCGTAAAGAACCTGACACCCACCCACACATAGGGCACGCATTTTATGATTAAGTTTAGGCAAATTTTACTGTAGAAAATACCAAGGAGGATAAAAGTAATCCTTTCTATGAAGTTTCTGATTCCTGCTAGAGCCAAGGAGCCCTGACTGGCAAGCCGTGCGTTCTGAGAACATCTGTCCATTTTTAAGATGATTCCAGTGCAGACGCACTTTACTGTCGCTTGCAAACACAAGCAACCTAAGTCTGGATTTAACTGCTGCGAGGACGGTACAAGGACAAAGGAGGACAAAAGCAGATGAGTGGAAGGGTCAGAAAGCTGAAGACCCTCTTGCAAGTCATGCACCGCCCTGATTTGCATCCTTGATTTGCATCCCTGATGAGCAGACACTGATCTGCATCCCTGACAACTGGATGCCTGGGGTGCCTGAGGCTCTGCTGCCAGAGCAGATTTGGGGCAAGATCAGTTTCAACCCCCCGAACATTCCCCTCTCCTGCTCCTGGGCTAAGGGAGGCCAAGTCCCTTAGCCACTCTGGCCAAACTGGGAATGGCTACAGCCAGACTGGCTGAACTGGGAGGGGTTACAATGGATAACCCCATCACCCAGTGTGTCTGAACTGGCATTTTTACTCTGTTGCCCCATCAGATAACTGACCAACTGTGCCCACCTCCCACAGAAACCACCATCCACAGGCACGACCAAGGCTCACACTACATTAGACAGATTTTTCCCGTAACAGACAGGTAACTTTTCCCCCTTTGCAATTTCTAGCAGTATTCCAAGGCTGCACTTGTGCCAGTGCAGGTTGTAGCAGCCTTGTAGGTGCTTGCTGAGCACATACAGTCTACCGTACAGCAGCACCTACCGACTGCATTCCTGTAGGTACAGCCCAGGCCGCCAGCCCAGCTGCACACACAACGGTTACAGGACACCAGCCATGCACAGCACGAGGCCCAGGGAATCCAGGAATCCTCTGCTGAGCTGTGACAGGCCCAGACAGACTCGGGGTTATCGTGCTTAGGTTGTGGGGTTTGGCAGGGCAGCGCTTTCCACCACCATGGAAACTCAGGGGTCTCCGCTCCTGCTGTTTCCCAGCTTAATCTTTGGCCCAGCAGATTTACGTTGCTGAACCAGCTCAAGTGCAGCACTGCTGGGCTGCCTGAAAATCCGCACGGAGCTGAAATCCATAAAAATGCAAGGTTCCTCCACGATGGCAGTTTCCTGCCAGTGCAGCCAGTCTCAGGGGTGGGAAGATGGTAATTTTGCTTCCTTCCCTGTAATATTCTAATCTATTCTAGCACCTTGGTCCTCTTCCCAGAACATCAGTGTTTTCATTCCCCTGTTTTGTCAGAAATTTCATTCTTGTTTGCATGTATACTGATTACATTCTGCTGTACAGACAGAATCCCTTTGGTTTCTAAAGACAGCAAAAGTTTTCAGTGGTGTAAAGCCCAAGAATGTAATTTTCAAAAGTACGCCCATGACCAAAGAGTAGAAAACCTATTAACAGTGTAATTTTGTTGACTTTCAAGTCACTGATGCAACACTGAAAATCCCACGCTCAATAAGAAGCCCAGTAGGTACTCCAAGATATGCTTATTTCTAAGTCAAATGTGAGCCACAATGATTCTTTTTTACATCCAAATTGAAATGTAATGAGAATGTATTAACAAAGGGTATTAAATATTCAGTGGTCTGTCTCTGCTCGGGAAAGGCTTTACCTTACACTTCCAGAGGGACCTGCGGAGAGATGCTGATGTAAGGCAGGCTTTGGGCTTTGCCCTTCGGATACCATTTACAGGAACTCCACTTCTGCACGGAAAAAAATCAAACATAACCCAACCAACCAACTAACCCCAGGAAAGCCTAAAGCAGGAGACAACTTGTGAAATAAAACCCTAATACTGAATCTACACACTCCAAAGAGCTTTCCTTGCAGCCACAGAAAGCAGCGGTTTTGGGAGCAGAGCACACTGCTCGCAGACCTGCCATCAGGTCCCTATTTCTTACTGACAATAATCCTGAAGGGCTAGAGAGTCATGGAGCAGAGGAAAATAGTGCTGTAAAACCTGTTTCAAAGATGAGTGGAGAAATTCTGTCCTTGAGCACATCAAACCCTCCCTTGTCTTCAAAGGGTCAGAGTTTCATTCACAATTTTCCTCAGTTTCGTGCATTTTTCAGACTAAAATCTGCGCCCAGCAAAGGATGGAGCACCTACGAGTAATCTAATGGGATATAACATCATATAACTATCCAGTTCCAAGCCTCTTGCCACGGGCAGGGACACCTTCCATAGCCCAGGGTGCTCCCAGCCTCATCCAGCCTGGCCTTGGACACTCCCAGGGATGGGGCATCCACAGCTTCTCTGGGAACCTGTCCCAGTGCTCCCACCCTCTGCGGGAAGAATTCCTTCCTGATGTCCCATCTCAATCTCCCTCTTTCTGTTCAAACCCGTCACCCCTTGTTCTGTCATTCCCTGCCCTGGGAAAAAGCCCCCCCAGCTTTCCTGTAGCCCCCCAGGCACTGGAAGGTGCGGAATCGGAGCCCAAGGGAAGTGTCTCGAGCACTGGGTTACAGAAGTCCAGAAGGCTGAGCCATTACACAGGGACATGAGCTGAGGCTTTGGGGATTTGCATCATTTGCTTTTCTAACTATGGGGCTTACATTGGTGTTTAATAGTCCTGTTATTTCTGTTATTAAATATGTAATTTTAAATATGTAATTATTAATGTTCTTAAATATGTAATTTCCCAGCTTCTCTGGGAACCTGTCCCGGTGCTCCCACCCTCTGTGGGAAGAATTCCTTCCTGATGTCCTATCTCCATCTCCCTCTTTCTACTTAAATCCCTTACCCATTGTCCTGTCACTCCCTGCCCTTGGGAAAAGTACCCCCCAGCTTTCTTGCAGCCCCCACGTGCTGGAAGGGGCTCTGGGGTCTCCCCTGTCTGGCCCAACTCCCTCATTTCAGAAACATCACTGGGGGCAATGAGCCTGCTGCATCCCCAAAGGCGCTCGCCCAGTGCGTGACACGGATCCCAGCTCTGCCAGGACAAGAGGATGCAGACAAGTGTCTGCATCCTGCTTTTCCCAGGAGGAGCGCACTTTGCCCACCTTGGTCCGGCCAAACTGCTGCCAGCAACAGGGAGGATGGGTTTGTAAAAATTCCTGCAACATAAACACGCAGCTGTGCTAGTGAGGAGAGCAGTGAAATGACTGCATTTCAGTCGCTCTGCCTAATAGCCAGTAACAGTCCCACACAGAAACACGCCGGTTTATTTTTATTATTGCTGTTATCATTTTATGACCCCAGACGTTAGTGAAGATCAGGGCCCAGGGACTTGCTGAAGCAACATCCATCATGAGTGGGTAATTTGGGGCCACACTGCTTATTTGCAAAGGACAGGAGAAGCCTCTTTGCTTGAACAAAGGAGAAATTGAACAGTAACACGTATGCAAAAAACTCAGTTTTTAGAAACCCTGCAGACTCCGTGACCTACATTCAGCCCCTCAGCTCTGCTTCCACCTTCTCCTCAAGGTCACCCCACGCTTTCCCTCGAGACCATTTTCAGTTGGCTAAACCCGTGGCTACCTAGAAGCCACCTCTGCTGCTCTTCCCTTACTCTCTTTCTGTGAAAGGCCCGGATACTTCCACTAAAAATATTCAGCACTTTCCGAAGCCGATTATCCTCCTCCCTCTGCTTCAGACTGCAAAACGCGCTGGGTTCTCTGAGCAGGGGGTACCCTCACCGGTGTGCAGAGGTGCTGCTGGGCGAGTCCTCCCGTGAAAAGCCTTGGGCACAGCTGGCACGGACACAGCCCAGCTGTTGTGCCAGGTTTGGCGAAGTCTGCCCTGTCCTCCCTCCAAATTTAACCCAGCAAAAGGTCAGGGTCTGAGCGGAGTCAGGGAATGGCAGTCGCTATTTAGAATTTCCTGTCACAAAAAGTTACACGGGATAAGGAAAATTCCTGGCACATACCTGTGTGTGGCTGCCAGCCCCTTGACTTCTCGGTGGGAAAACAGAGAGGAACAGAAATGTTTAACAATGAGACGCTAACAGGATTTGTTCGCTTGCTTACGGAGAAGGACAGGCCGTGGACAAACAGCACTGACACCCGGAGTTTATAAAGCGCTCTTCCCCAAGCCCCATGTAAGCCACAGCCAGCCTTTCCTCCCAGGTGAAATGGTCCAGGATTCGCCCTCATCCTCCCCTTCCTCCTCATGCAACGCCAGTGCAACGGGGGGCGATCCACAAGCGGTTTGTGCTTGTGCCAGTAACGGGGCTGAACTGGCAGCCACAGCCAAGCCAAACATGCACTGGTTCCCAACTAACCCAGAAACGTGGGAGGAAACACCTGGAAAGGCAGTGTGCACAGCAGAGACCTCTCTGAGCATCAACTGTAAAACCAGTAAGGTCTGGTTTTCAAGCAAATGTGAACAGATCTGGCCTTAGAAGGGACACTTCCCACGACACTCCTTAGTGACAAGCCATACGAGTCCCAGCAGACGGCATGTCACCTTCTCCATGGACATCAGGATAACACCCAGCGTTTTGCCAACCATTCTTGGGATCTCTCTGTGGATGTCTAAGCAAGCCTTTCTATAAAACAACCCCATGAAGCATCAGCAGGCTTTAAAGACCACGGCTATTCCACCCACGGAAGGTGAGGCAGCGCATCCCCGAGGTGCCCAGCTCCGAGGGATGGCAATGCCCCCCCCAGTGCACGGCCCCAGCCGAGGCCAGCAAGCCCACAGATCGCTAGTGCAGGCAGGGAGGAAAAAGGAGAAGAATTTTATAAATCAAGGCTTTTATAGTTACCTATCCAAATAGAAAAAACACTCTAAATTTTGGCAGCATCACTGCTTCTGGCAGAATTACCAATCACTTTGCAGTGCTTTGTCCAGGCTTCCCATGGTTTTATTTTTGTCTGAGTTTTTCTATTTTTAAATTCAAACAAAAAATGCTATCAAAGATCTATGTTGCTGCTGTACTGCAAAGCAGCAAAAAGAAAATATTGCATGACCCGTGATGGCAAATAGAAGAGCGGCAACGAGATGAGGGCGAAGGGTGATACCAAAGTGAATGTGTGTGTCTAGAACGGAGGAGCTCCCAGCGGGTCACGGTACCGCCTGGCACAGACACAAGAGGCTCAGGGCCATCACAGCAAACTGGAAAAAGCATAAGCTGGCTTATGGCTTTTGACACAGAATTTATTATTTTTTTTTTAGTTAAAAATGGATAGTGTAGAAGCTTAGTCATTGTTATTCTGTCAGATTAATAAATCGCCCTATAAGGAGGTCAGAAAATTAGCATAGGGAATTCACGCCTTGGTTAGATGAAAAACAGCATCAGGTAGACTGACACACGTACATGTGCGTATACGTAACTACAGCAAGGCAACATGGAAAATTATCACTAGCCTTTTCTAAAGGATGCACCCATTTTTTCATATTTACACTGGAATTCAGTCAAATGGCACCAAGACTAATCATTCGGTTAACGTGAAAGAAACAAATTCCTACTTCTTAATTACAATGGTTTGACTCAGAATGGCTGTAGAAGGTAAACGGGGCAGAAAGCTCTTCCCAAGCGACGAGGAGACTGGGAGGGACGTGACACCGAGGCCGGCTCTCCCGCTCGGGTGGCTTTTACAGCCTCCCCTGCCCGACTCACTGAGCTATCTCACAGACAAAGCCCACAGCTCTAACCAGAACCCCAGCACCTCCCAAAGCAGGCGCAGAAACACGGCAGCCGCGCTGAGCACTCGGCTGCCAACGGCATCGGCCCGAAGCCCTTCACCCCTCACCAAGTTTTGGGAGGGTCAGTAACGAGCTGCTTAGGGATGAGCTCTACCCCCCTCCGAGCTTTCCCGAGCACCGCCAGGCTGGCTCCAAGACCGTACTGCTTAGCCTGGCTCCTACGGAAGCAGATTTTCCACTGACCTTCTGTTTTGGGGGATATTTGCCTAAACATACACGCACTCCTCCACCAATACATTTGAAACCGCCAGTAGCTTTTGTAGAAATCTGAAAGGTCGGTTGGTGTTTTGGGGAGTGAACGAACACCCCCGCATTCACCAACAGCCGGGCCCGGAGGAGAGAGATGCTGTAAGCCCACGGACCGAAAGAAGGCAACGGCAAAACCACGTAATTTCTAAAGTGCCCGAGCATCCACGAGAAAGGAAAGTGCTCTGAATATCAAACAAGCTTCAAGTGAAGTTTGCACATGTTTAAACACCAGAAGGCATACATCCATAGGAAACTAGCCCTCATTAGGTCAGAGAATTACTTAGGGAGGTAATTGCCCACCCCCTTGCACGGTCACTGGCCAGCGACAGGGCTGCCCTGGCTATCCAGCACAAGCCATCTCCCACAACCCATGGAGTTATCTTGCTTTGGGAAAGCCTTGTCACGGGGAATTAAGGGCTGCTGGGTTTCAGGCATGAGGACTGCCCAGGGTTATTTCCTGCATACAAGGAAACGGGTGTACGATGCTCCCCTGCCCACATCACTGCTGGTCCTGGGCCAGTAGCCAAGGCACGTCACCAGCCAGCCTCGCGTTCAAGGAGCAGCCAACAAGGCCCAAGGTGAGTGTCTGCCCAGGGTGCTCGGGTCCCTCTCACAGGCTCCCAAAGGCCCCATGTTTGGCACTCATTTACATTTCATTGCAGCGCTCCGCTGTTACTGTTGTGAGTGCCAGGCTGGCAAGTGAGTTCTGCACGAAAACCAGATTATTGGAAAATACTGTCCTCTGGGTTAGTAGTTGTCCTGCATGTACTGAGACAGTTTCAGGGGTGATGGACACAGCTGTGGT